GGATCCTAAGAGATTCTATGAGATTTTGAGAGATCCTATGGGATCCTGAGGGATCTTGAAAGTTAACTTAGGGTGTCACGGATCCTTAAAGATCCTAGGATCCCATAGGATCCGCTTTTTCCCCCTTGGTCAAAACATACATGACGTATGTACAGTTGCGTTCATTATCCACACTTCGAAATGTGATGCTATATGATTTTTTTTGAAAAATAAAATAACCAATAGTTCACAATTATTTCTTTGAAATTAATTTCAATCATAAATAAATTTTCCAAAAATGAATTATCAATTTCAAAAATATTCGAAATATAAATATTTTTTGGCTTTATTTTCTTTTAAAAATGACATTATATTGAAGAAGGTTAAATCATCACTAATACAATGATTCCATTTCATAATAATAATCAATCATTGTAATATTTTTGTTCTTTCACTCTCATACAAATTCGAGTCAAAAAGACAATTATCAAACAAAGAACTTTTCAATTTATTTCACAAACGAAGAAAACAATCTTTTTCAGGACATAATTTTTATTTTCGACATCCCAATGGATGACCCTCTGGAAAAACACTTGCACAAGCAACACGTATTGATCCTTGAAAACTTGCTTCATCAAGGCAACACATATCCTTAGTTAATGAACAGCATTTGACTTCTTTACAATTAATTACACCTTCACCATTTGGACACAGAAGAGACATCATTCCACCTGGTAAAGAATTGACCAGAAATACATGTACCACAATAATCAGAAGCAATACGATGAAATTTTTCATTGTTTAATTATAATTATAGACACAATATCTTTTCAATAAAAAGAAGTTCACTTACTCTTGTATTGATTTCCTCAGCTAGAAGAGTTGATTTATATACGTTTGAATTTTAGACTAACCGATAACAATGTTCGCCAGATACGTAGATTCTTTTTTTCATAATTTATTCAATGAATGACCGATACATAATATACGCATTGTGTTCATCATATCCGGCCATAATTGAGAATGTTAATGGACGGAATCAATAAGAGTATCGATTTTACATTTCAGAAATTTTCGAACAGTTCAATAGAATTCAACTTCTGTTGACTTTTTATCGTTCAAAGTTTGGTTTTAATACACGTTTGTTTAGTCATGATCAAACTTACCAATTAAATATCCAGGATATGTCCATGAAGAATATTAATATAAAAATTAACTAATAGTACCTATACGATACACATCATAAGGAGATAGAAATTAAAATAAATATATGAATATTTTATTCGGTATGTGTTGTAAAACAGTTCTTGTTGTGATTGATTTCACCTAAAAGTTAAGAAAAAAGATCAAAGAAATAATAGTAATGAAATTTCATTTCGATAACATTTCACAACTCATTATTTGTAACTATACAATGAAATCTTTGATGGATATGAATTTTAAAAATATTCATTGCAGTTATCATTATTTTATTTTTCGAAAAAATAACCAATATGAAAATATCGATGCGCCAACAAGCGTTCATAATTTTCTTTTTATTAATTATCTAGATCTTAAAAAGTGCTTTAATTCGAATTCATTTTGAAAGTGATTTTCTCTTAGTTTGTTACATTTGCTTCATTTTCTCTCGTGTAAAATATAGTTTGGGGAAAAGAGCTTTACTGAGAACTTTAGAAATACTTCTTGCCTCAATTGAATGTGTCCACCGTTGAACAGAAGACAGACTAGAGAAATGTTCTCATTTGACTGACTGATAACAGTTGACATTTTATGATTGATGATATATCTAAAATATTCATCTTTCTGTTTCAAAACATCACATTATCTTTTTCTGAGGATATTTACAAGACTGTGCAACTATTGTTGTTTGAACGAAAGAAAAAGTCAGAATCTAAAACAATGTTTAATATTGAATGTTAACAAGTCTGTAAGTAAGTTTTTATGCTGTCGTCGCCATTACTTCCGACAATGAAATCTTGCTTATTGTCATTATTAAAATCACCACTAAGGCCTCAGATACACTATGAAAAATAAAACAGAAATAAGGAACATGATTGGCTGATAAGTTAAAACAGAATTAAGTCAGATCGACTGCTTGACTTAGGTGATAAATCGCCAATCAGAACAATCTATCGTTTATACCAATGAAAAAATAAGTGTGGCGCCGCCATCATCTGTTCTTTTTTGTCGAGGTGTACTGTCTTTCGACGACCATTTTGACAATAGCGGACGTCGATAAGAGAAGTAAACCTTTTGTTCATTCTGGTCGAGTCTTTTGGTAGATATTACAGCATATTTATCAGTTTACTGTATTGTAGATAATGCAGCAGCCACATTATATTCGATTCATTTCTCCACCAAACGCAAATTCTATCTTGAACACTTTACCACAAGGTAAAATTCGATTCATATCGATTCAACCATCAATCTCCGTTCGGACTTCTACTCCATCGCGTCAAATTGTGAACAAAATCGAACATTCATCATCGGTTACGGATCTACCCTGTGGAAAACCATCTTCGACACATCAAATAACTGATTCATCAACAGATGCTATACAAAATGAAGCACCTAGTACGCAAGTGGCTGTGCCTGCTGTCGAAACAATTTCAACGACATCATCACCATCCATCAGCATCTGCACGAATGAATCAAAAACTATTGATCCGATATTAAAAGCTGATTCGAGTACGTGATTCTTTTCTAATAATCCTCTGGAAAAGTAGCAGATATTTTTCAGAATAAGCTGGGTCTTTGAAACTTGAATGCATTTTTGAAGGTAGCCAATACTTCTATACTTTTAGATTCAAACGCATCTACATTGGATCTGGCACCAAAATCATCTGATTTAGTTAATAAAAGAAGTCGATCACCATCCTTCGAAACGAAGCATTTAAACGTGAAGAAGTTGAACACGAAGGTTAAAAAGGAAGAAATAAGTAAAGGAATTTTTCTTTTGCCATCGATAGCTTTTCTGTTTTTAGATATTAAGACAATAAGACGAAGTAAGAACTGGTCAGAGAGCGAAACAGTGGCGTTCATCGGTGTCTGGGAAGAGCATTACTCGAAATTAACCACCGGCAACAGAAGACATTCTCCAATATACAATGCTATGGCGGAGCAAATCAATAAAATCTTAGCTCCAAGGTGTCTGACTGCTCAGGACGTGAAGGGGAAGATCGGAAACTTAATCACCGAGTATAGAAGGAAGAAAAAGGAACAGGGGAAGACCGGTGCAAGTCCCTGCAAGTGGCCGTACTTTGATTTGATTGATAAAATTATAGGCAAGTGTTTTTATCTTTTATTCTATGATCTACATGTATTTTCTGCCTTGTTTTAGGTGAAAGACCTTACAACGATAACAGCCTTCTGTCAGATTCAATGATGACTGATCAAGAAGATCTATTAGAAGAAATAATCAATGTTGAAGTGCCAGATCTCAACTCAACTCAGTTGACCAAGGAAACGGACGAATCGTTTTCATTTTCAAATGATATTGAGCGAACAATAAGTCCAATCCGTCGGGATTCACCTACTCTCGAGAGCCGAAAAAGTAATCAGGCTATTGCTGAATGTAGTACGAAAACACTGTTGTCATTATCAACTAAGAAAAATCAATCGTCGAAGAAAAAGTCTGCAGATATGAAGTAATTGGATTTTGCATATTCTTTTTTCATAAAAACGATTTTTTTTCTTTTCATTTGGTAGATCTGACTTGATGAAACAATTACTCGTGAAAATTGAAGATGCTAATGCAGCTGCTGCTGAATCCGAGGTTAAAATGCTTAAGCTTCTGGAAAAGCAAACACAACTTCAGGCTGAAAGTGTTCAAAATGATAAGGACTTTTTGAATGTATTCAAAATGCTTGTTCATAATATCAGCACTGGACAATGACCTTCTCTAGTAAATTTCATATATGTATTAGTCTTAGCTTCATAAAAACTCTTTATTTGTGATGAAATCAATGGTACTTATCTTGTTTATTAAATTATTTCTTTATATAAAGTTTGATCAAAGTCTGTCTTCATTTATTTTCTAGATGATCAGCAAAGAACTCATTGGAACCATCCAGTTATATCTATTAAAGAGAAAAAGATTACAGCGTGAAATCAATTACTTTCGCTTTGAATACCAGCGCCATCAACACAAGAATCATCGAGCTTTGTATCATCGAAATAATCTTTTGCTATGTTTATTAATGTTTATCCATTCTTCTATCTCAAAGGAACGATACATATGGTCGCATAAGAAGAGTAGTCTATGGTGGTCTGAAATTGTACCATTAATGACAGATTCACAATTCAAGGAGAACTTCAGATTGAATCGAACGACTTACAATGAGTTGATACGACAAATTGGCCCACATCTACAAAGAGAAGATACGACCTTTCGATTAGCCATTCCTGTAGAGAAGAGAGTCGCTTGTGCTCTGTATCTATTAGGTAGGTGACTATTTTTATGAAAAAGGATTATTTCTCTTTGTATGTTCTAGGCTCCACGTGTGAATTGAGAACAGCTGCAAATTTATTTGGCATTGGAAGAACAACAGCTGGTCAGATTCTTCACGAATTTTGCGAAGTTCTGGTGAACAATTTCTTTCATCGATTTATCAAGTTTCCCACAACGTCTCAAGAAATTCAAAACACGGTTAATGACTTTTACATTCGGTGCGGATATCCTATGTGTATCGGCTCTCTCGATGGCACTCACATTCCAATAAAACCACCGACGGGATTTGAAACCGACTATTTCAACTACAAGAAGTACCACTCGGTCATTATGCTGGCCGTTGTAAATTCTTCTCTACTTTTTACTTATGTCAACGTAGGCGCACCAGGAAGATGCAATGACTCGTCTGTTTTCTCACGTTCAACTCTATCCGATGTGATCCAAATGCCGATATATGCCAATCATTACATCAATATTAACAATGTTAAGATCCAATCTCATCTGATCGCCGATTCGGCTTTCCCTCTCAAACCTAGCGTGCTGAAGCCATATGGAGAAAAACCAAACATGCTGCGCTCGGAGCGCCTATTCAACTACCGTCTCAGTCGATGCAGATGCTCTGTTGAAAGAGCTTTTGGTTCAATGAAAAATCGTTTCAGATGTTTACACAAAAAATTGGAATATGATATCAATTATGTGTGCACCCTCATCAAAGCAACTGCAGTTTTGCATAATTTATGCGTATTCAACAATGACCTTATAGAAATCGATTGGGATATTCCTCAAAAAGTTTACCGAAAGCCGGCCTGTAATACACAAGTACCGCATACAGTTGGCTTACGTGAAGCGATGGCAGTTTTCTTCGAGCAAAATCCTTTGTAAACATCCTGTTTTTTTGTATGATGAATCACATTGTGTCATTTATGTTATGTACAATAATAAATGATTGATATTATTCTTCTTAACATTTTCGTGCATTTTGTTCAATGATTTTCAGGTAAAGGTTTGTAAAAGTATAATCACGCATTGTGTAAATGGCTGAAGTAAAGTTTAATATGAAAAAAGTCAGTGTATGTTAACGACACCTATCGTTAACTCATATATCTCGTTCTTATTTCTCATTGGTGGTTTAAGCACATAGTGTGTACGGGATCGAATTAAAACACAAATCAAACTGTTTTATTTTCCATAGTGTATCTGAGGCCTAAGAACAGAAAAAGGAAAAGAACCATAATTGTTGGATAACACGATTCGATAAGAGAAGTAACCATTACCATGTCCAACAAACAGACCAACTTTATTCTGATCGCGATCAGCAATTAAAATGTCCAGTATATCATCATTGTTAAAGTCATCAACAGCCATAGAGAATGGACAAGAAACATCACCTGTCGACGATAGTAATGGATTCGAAAACGTACCATTTCCGTATCCGAGAAAAACGCCGATATTGCTAGTACCACAATTAGCCACAATGATATCCAATCGAGTATCCTCATTGACATCAGCAGTCGAAATAAAACGTGGAAATGAAGAAGTACCGGTTGAATATATTGTCGGTTGTGTGAAAGAAATATCACCATATCCAAAGAATATAGCTATCGTGCCACTATCCGAATAAGCAATTCCAATATCTGTTTGATTATCATTGTTAAAGTCTTTAATGGCAAAGGATTGTGGTGTAGATGCTTGTGAAGTTCTTAGTGTCATTTGTTCCACAAATGCTAGTGCTACGTTTCCTATGAATATACCGATATCATGACTGCGTTCGTTCGCGACAACAATATCAAGTCGAAAGTCATTGTTAAGATCACCAACGGCTACGTCCTGCGGCAAAGAACCGGTTGTATAAGTTACTTGTTCAACGTAACTACCATTTCCATAGCCAAGAAGGACTCCTATAGTATTGCTTCCATAATTAGCAACAATAATATCTAATCGTGAATCTTGATTTATATCGGCTATAATTACACTAGACGGAGTACTTCCAACTGGATAGGACGCTTTTTGATGAAAACTGCCATTGCCATATCCGAGTAGTATGTTTATGTTATTACTGCCATAGTTGGCAACCACAATATCTAATCGAGAATCATTGTTGAGATCGCCAACAGTCACACTGTATGGTAAAGATCCAACTGAATAAGTCAGTTGATTAGAATAACTGCCATTACCATATCCGAAAAGTAGACCCACATTTTGGTCTCCTCCATTAGCAACAACAATATCCAATCGAGAATCTCCATTAAAATCACCAATAGCCACACTCGTTGGACGAATTCCTGTTGAGTAAGCCATCTGACCAGCAAAACTCCCATTACCATATCCAAGAAGTATACTTACAGTATTGTCTTCGGAATTAGTGACAATAATATCCATTCGAGAGTCTCTATTGAAATCATCAATAGCTATACTTGACGGACCATGACCGACTGCAAATGATAGTTGATTAGCAAAACTACCATTACCATAACCGAGAAGTACACCTACAGTATGAGTACCTGCATTAGCAACGGCGATGTCTATACGAAAATCATTATTGAAATCACCAACAGCTATGCTGAATGGATTAGCGCCCACGGAATAGGTTGTTTGTTCAGCAAAGCTTCCATTACCATATCCCAGGAATATAACCACATTGGCGACATCATCCATAACAGCGATATCCAGTTTAGAATCGTTGTTAAAATCAGCAAGAGCGACAGAACGTGGAGAGTTCCTGATTGAATAAGTTGTTTGATCGTTAAAAGATCCGAAGTCATATGCAGTAAGTATATGTACAATACTACTATTATCACAGCCAACAAGAAGTTCCGATCGTCCATCATTGTTCAAATCACCGCTTGCAAGCACTAACGGTGTAGTACCAAAATAAGTTCCTCCTACATTCATCTCAACCATAAACGTTCCATTTCCCTTTCCACGAAGTAAAACAATATTTTTGTTTTCACTGTTCGTTAGAGCGATATCTATGTAGTTATCATTATTAAAATAATCTATCGCTAGCGAATTTGGACGAGCACTAGTGGAGTATCTAGTCAGAATTGCAAAACTGCCATTTCCATTTCCGAAAAGAATGCCCACAGTACTACTACCGAAAGCAGCATAAACAATATCTAACTTTGTATCATTATTAAGATCCTGAATAGCAACATATCGTAGATCAGAATCAGTACTAAGTGTAATCGTCGTTTGATGTTTGACAGCTCCAATATTATATTGAAGCATAATTAGTACATTGTTGGCATAATAATTAGCAATAGCAATATCTATACGATAATCATTATTGAAATCGCCCACAGTCACTGAATATGGACCAGAATAAGCACCCGTTGAATAAGTTGCTTGAATCGAAAACGTACCATTACCATATCCCAGAAAGACATCTATATTATGAGTCATGGCATTACTAACAACAACGTCAAGTCGAGAGTCATTGTTAAAATCACTAACAGCTACACTTACTGGATAAGTATCAGTTGAGTAGGTTACTTGAGCAGTAAAACTACCATTGCCGCATCCGAGAAGTATACCCATATTATCATCTCCATGATTGACTACGACAATGTCCAGGCGAAAATCATTGTTGAAATCAGCAACAACTGCACTGGATGTACCGCTGCCAGTAGAATACGTTACTTGAGCATAGAAACTACCATTACCATAACCAAGAAATATGCCGACATAGTTTTTAAGAACATTAGTGACAACAATGTCTAACGAAGAGTCATTGTTAAGATCACTAGTAGTAACACTGGATACACCAACTTCTGCCGGATAGGTAATTTGATCAGTAAAGCTACCATTTCCATTTCCGAAATAAATCTTTACATTACCGCTGTCATAATTAGAGACGGCAATATCCAATCGAAAATCTTTGTTGAAATCACCAATAGTCACACCTGATGGGCTACTACCCGTTGGATAGGTTACTTGCTCTCGAAAACTGCCATTACCATATCCGAAAAGTAGACTTAAGCTGTTATCATTTCCATTCGTGACCACAATATCCAACCGAGAATCATTATTTAGGTCACCAATTGCTACACCCGTTGGATAATCACCAACTGAATAAGTCATTTGATCCTGAAAAATCCCATTAGTATATCCAAGAAAAACGCCTATATTGTTGCTTCCTTGGTTAACGACGACGACGTCAAGTTGTAAGTCGTTATTGAAATCACCGGTAGCTACAGAAAACGGGTTATTACCAGCTGAATATGTGGACCTGTTTTGAAAGCCTTGATAATATCCAAGAAGGATATCAACGCTTTGACTATCATCGTTCACAATAGAAATGTCCAGTCGATCATCATTGTTAAAATCGCCTATAGCAAGTGATGGAGAATTGAACGATCCACTTGAATACTTGATTGGTGTTAGAAACGTACCGTCACCATATCCAAGAAGTATATCTAGAGTATTAGTACCATTACTACTAACAACTAAATCTAATCGATTGTCTTTATTAAAGTCGCCAATGCTAATCATATGTGGATAAACAGTACCGAGTGAGTAAACTGTTTGTCGTGAAAAAGTTCCATTCCCATAGCCGAGAAATATACCTATGTTCTTAGAACCATAATTTGCGATGGCGATATCGAGTATAGTATCGCCATTTAAATAGCCGATCACAACTGAACTAGGATGTGAATTAGAACCCGTTGAATATAATGTTAATGTTTGAAATGTTCCATTGTGATTGCTAAGCAGTATTCCTATATTATTTGTTCCGGAGTTAACAACCAAAAGATCCGCTCGAGAATCATTGTTGAAATCTCCAACAATTGCATCAGAGGGTAAAGAGTCATAACCTGTTAAAATTTCATTTGGATTCGAAAACTTTACATTTCCAAGTCCATACCATATGCTAACACTCTGTTCACCATAGTTAACAACGATAATATCTAAGATTTGATCATTGTTAAAATCATTTACAGTAACTCGATAAGGACGCGATATGCCGGTGGAAATCGATGTTGGGGAAGCGAAAGACCCATTGCCAAAGCCACAAAAAATCCCAATGCTATGAATTCCAAAATTTGCTACAACAATATCTAGTATAGTATCATTATTAATGTCAGCTACTGCTAATGAGTATGGTTTTGAATCAGGACCAGTTGAATAAATGACTGGATTTTCAAAGTTTCCGTCTCCATATCCGAGAAATACTTTTATATTATTTCCGGCAACATTTGTAACGACAATATCTAGTCGACCATCGTTATTAAAATCTCCCACAGAAACAAATCGTGGAGCACTATTGAATTCAACGAGATTGTTGTCGGAGATTTTAAATTTGAGTTCACATTGTTGACCTAAACGATACAAAAGCATATTAAGACCTCGGTGTTTCACTCATAACGGATATTAGGAATCCATCAAGTTTCTTCAAACAAACACTGACATGAGTTCAATGAAATCCTATCAATGAGACTGCTATACTGTCTATTTTGCAGAATTAACTGTAAACGGAAAGAAAAATGCATGAACGAAGGCTATCACTAAAAGATGGAGTCAGAAAATATAAACAAGATCTCGCAGAGGAAATTAGTTGTATACTTGTTACAATCATCAAAGAATATATAGAGGAGAATGATATTCCTAGTCTTTACCTTGTGGAATAGGAAGAGTATTTATTAAAGGAATAAGTACATACCGGATGGTTTTGGTATTTTAAAACAAACTACTAATATACCAATGACCATAGCTATTATTGTACATAGAGAAAATGCAAATGCACGATTGTTTGATAAATTCCATATTAGCGTGGAATAGTATTTCCCACTAAAGAACAATGAAGAAATGATATTCGCTGTTTAAAAAAACAACATACAGGGTTCGCAGTTCCACATAAGTGTCAGTACTGCTCATGGTATTATTCACCTCTTTTTGTATTTTTTTTATATTTGAAACTGAGTTATTGTTCTCGACTTCTATCTTCGTGGAGCATAGAGCATGAGTTGAATGAGTATTTCCATCTCGAGAAATCATCTCAACCTATAGGCAAATAAAAGTATTAAAGAAGACGAATGCATCCCAAGCATGGATATAAAATCATGCGTCTACCAATTGAAAGTCAGATAGAATGTCATGTTTCATTTATTTAGCCCATATAAATTACAATGATGCAATTTACGTTAAACCTTTCAATTATCTCTGTATACTTTATCCTGTTTTCTACATGATGATTGTATAATAATTTTGTATATCATAGATTCCATGTCAGTCATGATCAAATCTTTCCAGCTCGAGTGCTTTGTTTCAATACATAAACGGTTCTAACGAAATGTTTGTAGTTTTTCTTACATTTCTTAATTTACTGCATTCAAATTATTTTATCAAATAGAGAATTCAATATAGCAACAATGTAAATGTTACATACCTCTTCCACATTGTACTGCATCCTTTGTTAATGTGTTCGTATACTCTTATAAAGTCAAGGAATCTGTCGCACCAGTTTGTTCTTACCAAGTCTAAAATGTTACTGTTAGGTATAGAAACACTGACTAAAGAGAGAAAAGGTTGACTTCAACATAGAATTAACTATTGATACATGGAAATTTATTGTCGCTTTCTTTTCTGGTCTCGATACATAATGAAACACACACGCACATATATATATATATATTTCATTGCGCTCTCATCATTCAACAGAATAATATCGCATGTTCATAGGAACAAAATATTAATATAAAAAATATTTTCTCCACGTTTTGACTGGAACTAGCGCTTGAATTTTAAGAAATTTAAGGTATTTATCTCAGGGAATACTTATAGTTTTCATTTCCTGACATCACAGACTATACTTGGCTCTTCCAGTCCTATGTTAGAAGATGCCTTGAGTTTACCTGATCTGTTCTAAAGGGGTGCACCAGGAATGTAACACTTTCAGTAAGCTATTGTAGCAGTGATATTGTTTCGCTTTCGAGAACCAGAGAAAACGTTTTGAGGTCGTGCTTTTCTCTATTGCTGTATATGTGAAGTCTGTTATTATCTATAGAAGACTTAAATTCAGAGGAGGAATAATAGCATATTTTGAGTGATGACCTCCGGCATATCGTAAGAACTGAAGACACTGACGTTTCGGACGGTGAGAAAAAGGACAATTCAAAAACGGTCTCCTCATTCTTTGCTCTGTCAATGTAACGATGTCAGTATTTCTATACTGACAACGAACAGCTCGACGCTTAGCTTCTTGAGCTATTACATATGGAAAGAACGAAATCAAATAGCGAGTTGGTTGTTTATAATAATGCAAATAATGTTTCTAATTTACCTTAAAATGCGTGCGAATGTGAAAGTGATTGCCAAAAAAAGTAAATACAAAAATCAACTAAAACGAAAATGAAATAGAAATATACCTACCATCGTCCTTTATAGCTGTGATCATTGATGCATAAATGAGAAAGTCAAACGAGTGAGATAGAGGAACCTATACATTATATTTTCGTTCTGGTCACACCTTGAATAAATTAAGCATTTAGTCCATATATAAACGAAAGAAAGGTATTTTTCAATGTATTTCTAAATGAGAATAAAGTAGTAGTTGATCTACTTATCATAAAGACTTTTGGCTTCACCCATTGCTCTCAATTTTTATTCTATCGATGGCTGTATTCCATTGATAGAATCACCATCATTATCATTAGCGTTGTAGTCATGGTCAACGATCTGACTTATTAATACATCCATACGAACAATTGTTTTATTAAACATGTGCCTATTTTCCTCTCTTGTTTGTGTATCATCCACTTCTGTCTCTTTATGCTAAAGGATTGATTGACTACACAACAAATAATTTTTATTTCTTGATATGTAATCTTCTGTGTTCTATGTAATATCTGAAATGAAAATATATTTAGTATATAGATAACGCTAGTCGAGAGTGAATCAGAGTATTTTCGACTGGAATAGTATCTCAACGTACAATAGTTTCCATTCATATCCCATACCAAAAAATCAAAAATATCTAATTAGGTTTGACTTCTGAAACTGATTTCAGGATCGTTTTTTTTCTTTATTTTGCGTGCATTTCTAAATAAAGATCACTGAAAATGAAATGGTAACTTCCTAACAGCGGTAACCTGAACTTTCCACCTTTAAACACGTATCCGTTTTTTAACAAAACGATGAATACTTTGGAATAAGATGCGACTACGTATAGATTTCAGAATCAAACTGGCATGCTTTTTCTCATTTCTACAACAGAATATGTCACTGAGAGCAGCTCAAATCCTGACTTTACTGTTTTATTTTATTCATCACGACGTTTAATTGACAATCTTTACTGGGGTACTCAATAAACATAGGAGTGACGCTCATCCTTCGAATTAGCTGAGCTATTTTTGAAAGAGAAAAGCTGCATAGATCTAACCGCTTGATATTTATAAGCAAAGTATCGAAGAACAGCTGACTTTGTGTTAATGTGAGTCTACGAAGGAAACTGCAGAGACGTGATGCTATTTTTCTAAGTCGCTATAATTCGAACAGGTTAGTTTTTCACATGTTTGGAATACTATGGACGTTTTTCATGCCTAGCTGAGTCTAATAATAGAGCTAAAAACGTCCATTTGGTTATTCGTCATGTATTTTCATTGAAAAGTCTATAAGATAATCTAACGTCTATTAGTCAGCGGTACAAAACTCTTAAACAATGCGGGTATAAGTCCCATACTTATTGTAGAGTTTACTTGATCTGTGTCTTTTTCAATCAATTTATTACTAAATTTTACACTTAGAAGTCGTAAATGATTCTGTTCACACATCAGGACGCAAACACTAATCAGCCCATTAACCTCCATTACCATGTCGAATAGAAGTACACACGAATCTCTTTCCTGAACGGAAAGCCAAGAGGCTATGCAGAAATCAATCAGAGAGAATTGTCGTCAGATTTAAGGCCATTGCCATCGATAACTATTGATTAAATTCAATTGAACGCTCGTGCAATCTCAGTTTTCTTATGGAAAGACAAGGATCAACATAGGCCATAGACAATGGTTCACATAAAAGCTAACGGCGGATTCTAGATCCTTGACGTCAATCACCTCTTGGTCCACTTTTTCGCTAGTTTAGTGAATACTGAATTTTTGTTGGATAGAAGAGGCAAACCTTTTGCAGTCCAAGCTGGTGGTTTTAAAGCTGCATAATCCTTTGTTTTAGAAAATGGAATCAACTTATAAAGTCACAGACTCATTTCTCCGTTTTATGACTATAAACTCTTTTCTCTACATTTATACAGTAAACATCAGCTCAAGTTGCTCTTCATCCTTAACATGTGATTCGTCATGCGAAGTTATAAAGACAACTTAAAGAGTATGACTATTCTCGATGCAAGAGATGTGTACGCCGATAGCACAACGTTTTTATTTATTTATTTCTCTCAGATCGCATCGTCTTTATACAAAACACACGTTTGGATGTTTGCCCATTGATGGAATCAATGCGGACATTTCGGATTTTATCCGAGAGTTATATATACTGTTAAAATATATCAGATAGAACACACTGACCGATTTTAGTAGTGTACTCATGTTTTGAGTACACAAAAACATAGTAAAGATTATGCCAAAGTGTTTTAAAATCTAACGAAGTAAGGCCACGTCGTCTGCCCACAGACAGAGACTCAGAAAAACAACTTCATTTTCATCATCTGATATTGCTCACCTTAAAGAATATCGATGATCAATTATTGATTGTGAAGTAAACTTGTGTGTGACACAAGGAGGTCCTTATGTCATGATTCCCCTACCCATTTCGCAAAATACTGTTACGGAAAAAATACACAATTACAAACCAGTAAAATTGTTTTCCTAACGAATACCGAAATATGTTGCTTTGACCTCTGAACTTTAATCCTGAGATGTTTCTATCATCTATGGTCACGTGTCCAAGGGTATTTCTTTTCATCTTTATGTTATTTTAAAAAATGCTCTCTTGACCTTTAGCCCTTGACTCCGATTCCTATACTACCCTCGCTCCTTTCCAACATCCCTCCCAAACCGTGCTTTATCAAGTTTTAACAATATCAATATATCTTGACCTTTGACCTGAGACAGAAATACACAGACGAACGTTAGTCTTTTGACCACTTTTTTACGACATGACCCTCTTTGCAGTCGACGGAATAGAATCAATACGTTCACGAGTTTTTCTTTGTTGACGATTGACAATAATTTTAGATATTAGGTTGTTAACAAAGTTTTTGCGTTTTTTTTATATTTTATTTTTATTTTTTAACATCAACAATACAACTAGCTTTCAGTTATATATGCGTCACTACTATCTATGACTTATCGGCAGCGCTCTGGCAGAGTTAGGATCTCGCGTTCGTAGAAGGCCTTAGACTTTTGACAAAAGAAGTTGGCGATATCCATTTTCACGTTGTTGCCGTCGTCGTCGAACCCTTTCTCACGCAGATGATGAAAAAGAGAACGAAACAAATGGTAGTCCGTTGGTGCCAAGTCAGGAGAATAAGATGGATGAGGAACGGTAATCCATCCAAGCTCCAACAACTTTTCGCAGGTCGACTTTGCAACATGGGGTCGGGCATTGTCATGCAAATAGTAGATTCGATCCTGCTTTCCCTTGAGTTTTTCAGCAACCCGGTTCAATTGTTGACAGTAGCGATCAGCAGTGATGGTACAACTATCAGGTAGAATTTCCCAGTGAATAATCCCATTGACGCCCCACCAGACGCTCAGCATCACCTTCTTGGAATGCAGATCAGACTTAGGTGTTGCTACGCCTGTCTGACCAACGCTAAGCCATTGGCGTCTGTGCGTGTAGTTAATATATAACGCCCGCTTCTCATCACCAGTGATAAGATTGCGCAGTCATTGATAGTTGCGATTAGATGTCATTAAATCCATACAAACATCAACCCGGTGTTGTAGCTGATGTGGTGATAACTCGTGGGGTATCCAAACTCCATATTTCCATCTCTTGCCTAATTCGATCAGATGTTTTTCCACCGCAGCATAAGAGCACCCGAGGTGCTCTGCTAAGCACGGTAAAGTCAATCGAGGATCTTGTTCGATAAGCTGCTTTAATAGATCTACATCCACTTCCAATGGTCTACCGGACCGAGGTCAATCGTCGAGTTCTAGGTCACCGTTCTTAAAGCGATTAAACCAATGTTGCGCCGTACGAGTAGGGAGTACATCCTCCCCCATCGTGCTGCATATGTTGTTAGCTGCTTCCGTTGCATTGTGACCAAGACGGAATTCATGAAGTAAAAGCACCCGAATCTCTCTACGAGAAAGATTCATTTTTAGTTCACGATCAGTGTCCATATCGATGAATTTGTTATCATTCGAAAGACATTCACACTCCCTACATATACCCTTAATATGGAAACTTCTAGAACTTTCTCGAATGTTCTAGAACATTCTCAAAAAAACGCAAGAACTTTGTTAACAACCTAATATTTTATGTCGGTAGAAATCATAACCTTTGATAAATCAATACACGAAAGTTCTTCAAAGTCTTACTATTTGGTACCACTGAATCCCACTTTCCACGAGCTTCCATTTGGTATAAAATTCATGATATCTCCAACTAGAGATCATAGTGTTACCACCCTGTACTTCACTTTCAAAGCTAGCATCTGCTTTACAAACGATCAGCACTTTTATCAATGCGTTTTTTTACGAATAAAATACATTGAAAGATGCAGCGCGAGAAACTTCACAAGATCCACCATGGGCTGTAGTTGATGCATGTACATTTTATTTTCAAAAAAAGCATTTGCAACTATTTTTCTAGTTTGTGAAAGACCTCTTTGTATACATATTTGAGATTCGTTAATCTAATTTTAACTTTATCCTACCGGATGTTTTATAGAATAATAAATCTTCGTAAATCTCAAAATGCGTCTTTAAAAAATGTACAATTTGCATAATAAGTCATTCTATACGGATACATCAGTTGCTTTTAAATTGCGCAATGGCCTTATGTTAAGAAAACACGATCATCCTTGTAAACTTGAAAAACAAATGCGCACTATTATGAAAATAAAAACATATATACATATAAATATATATTAAATTTAATAGTGCAGCTTATAGAGCTTTTCGCCTTGCATTGAATGCTGTACTCCTATTGAGAGAGTATATTTGGTCGTTGATTAAAACGAACAGATATAAAACTAATCAGTTACTCGCATGACGTTTTCTCCGTTTGAAAGTGAGGTACATTTTATGTTCGCTGTATTTTTCATTTAATGATTTTTTTTCTCACATTCTATAAATGTCAGAGTAATTATGATTTTGTAGAGAATTTCACAAGGAATCTTTTGGTAAAAAAGTTTCTTTTTAAACACTGAAACATCAGTGAGAAATATGGAAAATATGGAGAGACTCATTTATTTTTTGACGCCCATTAGAATATTTTGACAGATATACAATATTTTTTTAAAAAGGAAACGACACCAACTTGAATGACCGATTGCTTTAATTTGATATGATAAGAGCTGCCTAATTCGAATTTGAAAATAATTGAACAAAAAAAGTCTTTCTTCAGCTCCACCTTTATGCTAAGATATATTTCTGGAACCTCGAATTACATTCAAACGCAAATTAGGCAGCCACTACATTTATTAAACACTCCATTTGACAAAATTATACCTTTCCTGTACAAAATAACTTTGCCAGATGTTATATTCAGCACAAATCTGGCCATGTATTGTATCATTTCAAATAGTTACTTTCAACATAAAAAAAGGAAATTAATATTGAAACTGAGCACGTTTCAAACGTTCTAAACTTCATTATTTATTGAGCAAGTTGCTGTTATATACTTACAAGTGAGTATAGTTTAATATCGAACTGTATAAAATCAGTCGTTATCGGTGTGAAGCTAGCACTACGAAACTAATTCCCGTCCGCGAAAACTAGTCCGTTCGATTCAAAATTCAATTCTGAGTCTAGTGATGCTATTTTCATTCACGGGTAAACCATAGGAGAAAAGTTTTCTTTGATCGTTATTTGTCTCCTACACTTGTACATGCGTCACTGTATGACAGTTAGTACGCAACTTCTCTGCACAAAATGAATTTTCTTGCATCAAAAACAGTCTGTTCGACGCAAAATTGAATTCTGCATCGAACGGTGCCACATTTATTAATGGGTAAACGGATGGGGCGGAGCTTACCTCGATTTTTAGTTTTAGTTCTATAGGTGCATATATAAAAGAAATTCTGAGGGAATGCTTCCATTCGTTTGCCCGTGAGTAAAATTGGCACCGTTCGATGGACGAGAATTCGTTTCCACAAAATTCTTAGTTTCATAGCCGTTTTTTTACAACTTGATTGCTTTACAAAAAAAGTTTCCTATTTCCTCTGCATTAGTCTCATGAGGTGAAGGATCTAAAATTTCTCAATAACTCTGTAATTAAGAGAAATTCTTGGATCCTTGTAACTTTGAGTAAATATAAATGATGGGCATGAAAAGAGTATTAATGCTTGTGTATATGTGCCAGGCAGAGTTATACTTTAGGCAGAATTAAACTTGAATTCAAAGGAATGAAAATAAAAGAAGCCTAAATGTTTCAAATAAGTGTGAGTTGTGGAGATTTATTTTTGAAGATATGTAGAGTTGGCAAGTTGTATTCTATAGAAATCGAAATAGTTTTGAAGAAGATGTAGAGTTCGCGAGTTGTATCCTATGGAAATTGAAATAGTTTTGAAGAAGATGTAGAGTTCGCAAGTTGTATCCTATGGAAATCGAAATAGATTCGAAGAAGATGTAGAGTTTGCTGATGACGATTCATTGAAATTGATGATATTGAGGCGGTGTATGTGGTAATGCTTGTTTTGTTTGTCGTTGAGTTACTATTCTCATATGTACGTGGCAAAAAGCTGTAAAGTAACATGCAAGTCGTTCGATTTTATCGGTGTAAAAATGCAATAAAAATGATAAGACGAATAAATAACTGAAGAAGTTTGGGAAAAGTAAAATGGAAGATATTGGAATGGGGAAATTTTTGTATTGGCAAATCATTGAAGTGAAATTACTGAGTTCAAATAATGAAAGAGGTATTGAAAACATCTATCCGGTCGAATTTACAGTGCAGTGTTTAGACTCATCGATTCTGTCTATTAGGAGATTTTGCGATCTTTTGACTATGGTTGTCATTGGATTCGGCAGGTTAGACATCTGATAAACCTTTATTGAATTAAATTAATAATAAACAAAGAAAAGCCGAATGAGACAGACGAAGAAAATTTGTATCGCGATTAAACGTTTATTTAGTTTTGTTTTTATTGAAACGGATTCTAGTCGATGAATTGAATGATGGTTTGCGAGGAAGCATTGATCGATATATAGTCTAGAGAGAAGTAAAAGAAAGACGACATGTGATTCAATCGTTAAGATAGACGGTTACCGTTGTAGTAATTGATCTTGCCGTTTCGTATACGAATAGTTTTGTTCATGATGTTTTCAGGTATCTCATCTGTCTGAAAGAGGGATAAAAGATAAAATATTAGAAATGGTCTGCTTGTGGATAAATCATATTAAATGTTCTTATTTACTTTTTCGTTCCATGCGGTAACATTGATTGTAGATGTGTCATCAGTAATTTTGAAAGTTCGCCGGATAATATGATTTGTAGGATCACGTCCAGTAGAACTTATCAAACCACGATCTAATATGACTGATCCTTTTACGTCTAAACGAAGAAGAATAATGATTATGTTTCAGCTAATGCTTCTAGATAAAGATGATTTTCTCGAGGAATAACGGATACTAAGAAAAAATCAGTGCTTTGTGAATCAATTATTGTCTAAATCTGATGATATAAACTATTGATAGGTTTTTGTTGAAACGACATAGAATCAATAAGGGTTGGCTGTGTGTGGTTGAACAAGCCATGTACAGTAGTAATCGCGTTTTCACGTAAACAATTCATGATTTTATTTTTCATTGCTTCTTTGATAACACACTTCTCACGAAATCTTATATTTAAAGAGGATATGTGCAGGTTCGCCTGTTCATAGAACCACTTTTTCAATTCGTCATCACAATCCATGATGGACAGATCTAACAAGCTTCAACGCATACAATTTACAGCCACTATTCACTTGGCCATTCCGATCACCATTTCACCAATGCGAAGATTAAAACACAGAATCAACGTTCTAGCGCCTTTTCATAAATAATCATTAACAAACTTAATCACATGTAAAACTCATTTTCCCGACCAAAAAAGGGGGAGGGGAAGGGGGAGTAAGAATGGTGAGCTTTGGCTTCTTTTTCAATAAAGTTTTTTCCGCATACAAAAAAAAACATTCTAAGTGGTTCGTTTGTTTTTCCATCTCAATTTTGCGCCTTTTATAATGAACGAATTTCGACTAAGTTTAATTTTGCCTGAAACTTAATTCTGCCTATGACATATATATTATCTTAAGTACCTGCTGCTAAAGGCGAGCTTTAATATGTGCATATTGTAAGAAACCAATTCTAGTCTAGTATTGCATAAAGCATCTTCGTAATTCCATCAGCAGAAAAAGATAAGTATCATAGATGGAATAAAAATTAAAAGAATAGAAAATAAATAATTACTTTATTATTATTCTTCCTCTTAAATGTTTCAATATCCATATTCATTTTTAGTGCATAAAATATTATTCGAGTATGCCAAAAATTTCAATTTCTTTCCATCAATTCCACCATCAACAGATGAACATGAACTTCGAAATCAACGGATTTCAACACGACTATTTCTTGTTTTATTATCCACATCATTAATTATTCTTCTCATATATAATTCATTAATTACAGTGACCATCACGAAAACAATTCAAACACCTTCATTAAAACAATATGAAGAATTGTACGAAACATATTCGAAAACATTGACATGTCCATGTCAAAAAATGTCAATTGACTATAAGAATATTGTTCAGATTAATTTCACATTGCATCAAGTTTGTGACAGTGACTTTATTAGTGAAAAATGGATTAAATATCTTGCTCATTCATTTGATCAAAACAGTATAATTTTTAATGATTTCCGATCGTTCAGTCTCTCTTTATTTCAAACTTTAAACTTACTATGCGAACAAACGAATAAAATAATCGTAGATAATCTAAAACAATCTGATTTAAGTCAATATATTAGTACAATAGTTACATCATTAGATCTATTTCAATCACAAATTGAAACATTTGCCAAACAATTGAAATCAACGATAACATATAATTTTCTTTTTATGCTTGATCTTATACGAACTACGACAACTGCTGATGGTTTACATTCTGCATTAAACACAAATTATCGTCTTTACAAGGTTTCTACTGACTTAGCTGTTCGGAGTCAAGCATATAATTATTCGAATTGTTTATGCAGCCTTTCGTCAACATGTTTCATTCAATCAAGTATTCCATATTCTCATAAGGCACCCCCTGTTATTGTTCCCGGTATTTATCAAGGATGTTATGTAATTGATGGACTGTTTCGATCTACTCTCGAATGTTTTTATGATCAATCATGTATTGATAAAGTTCAATTTTATGCGGTATCAATAATAACATTCCGTGCACAAGCAATGTATCCCAAAAGTAGATTTTTAATTAATTCAACAATGGGAGAAATTATTCAAGAATTAATGATTGAAGAGTGGAATTGGACACCTAAATATGAAAATTATTATAATGAATGTCGACCAATTGAATGCAAATATAGTTATGAAACAAAAAGTGGTCTTGTTTATATCGTAACAGCAACAATTGGTTTAATCGGTGGTTTATTTACTGCTTTGAAAATTGCTGTGCCATTCTGTGTGAACGTTATCATACGAAAACGTCGATCAGAAACAGAAAGAACAGGTTTGTATATTTTTATTTTCTCTTCACTATATCCATCTATAGATACTATGATAAATACATATGGACCTCAAGAGAAAGGAAAGAATTAGCCTTTCAAGAGCTTCTTAAACTATCTTCAAAATTATATTTTTCTTCTTTGATGCTTTTTAGGGTTTAGAATATGTGAACAAGTTTCCATTCTATTTCGAAAAATCAAGATTTTTCTTACAACATTCAATTTCTTTCCATCAATTCCACCATCAACAGATGAACATGAACTTCGAAATCAACGGATTTCAACACGACTATTTCTTGTTTTATTATCCACATCATTAATTATTCTTCTCATATATAATTCATTAATTACAGTGACCATCACGAAAACAATTCAAACACCTTCATTAAAACAATATGAAGAATTGTACGAAACATATTCGAAAACATTGACATGTCCATGTCAAAAAATGTCAATTGACTATAAGAATATTGTTCAGATTAATTTCACATTGCATCAAGTTTGTGACAGTGACTTTATTAGTGAAAAATGGATTAAATATCTTGCTCATTCATTTGATCAAAACAGTATAATTTTTAATGATTTCCGATCGTTCAGTCTCTCTTTATTTCAAACTTTAAACTTACTATGCGAACAAACGAATAAAATAATCGTAGATAATCTAAAACAATCTGATTTAAGTCAATATATTAGTACAATAGTTACATCATTAGATCTATTTCAATCACAAATTGAAACATTTGCCAAACAATTGAAATCAACGATAACATATAATTTTCTTTTTATGCTTGATCTTATACGAACTACGACAACTGCTGATGGTTTACATTCTGCATTAAACACAAATTATCGTCTTTACAAGGTTTCTACTGACTTAGCTGTTCGGAGTCAAGCATATAATTATTCGAATTGTTTATGCAGCCTTTCGTCAACATGTTTCATTCAATCAAGTATTCCATATTCTCATAAGGCACCCCCTGTTATTGTTCCCGGTATTTATCAAGGATGTTATGTAATTGATGGACTGTTTCGATCTACTCTCGAATGTTTTTATGATCAATCATGTATTGATAAAGTTCAATTTTATGCGGTATCAATAATAACATTCCGTGCACAAGCAATGTATCCCAAAAGTAGATTTTTAATTAATTCAACAATGGGAGAAATTATTCAAGAATTAATGATTGAAGAGTGGAATTGGACACCTAAATATGAAAATTATTATAATGAATGTCGACCAATTGAATGCAAATATAGTTATGAAACAAAAAGTGGTCTTGTTTATATCGTAACAGCAACAATTGGTTTAATCGGTGGTTTATTTACTGCTTTGAAAATTGCTGTGCCATTCTGTGTGAACGTTATCATACGAAAACGTCGATCAGAAACAGAAAGAACAGGTTTGTATATTTTTATTTTCTCTTCACTATATCCATCTGCAGATTCTATGATAAATACATATGGACCTCAAGAGAAAGGAAAGAATTAGCCTTTCAAGAGCTTCTTAAACTATGTTCAAAATTATATTTTTCTTCTTTGATGCTTTTTAGGGTTTAGAATATGTGAACAAGTTTCCATTCTATTTCGAAAAGTCAAGATTTTTCTTACAACATTTAATTTCTTTCCATCAATTCCACCATCAACAGACGAACATGAACTTCGAAATCAACGGATTTCAACTCGACTATTTCTTGTTTTATTATCCACATCGTTAATTATTCTTCTCATATATAATTCATTAATTACAGTGACCATCACGAAAACAATTCAAACACCTTCATTGAAAAAATATGAAGAATTGTATGAAACATATTCGAAAACATTGACATGTCCATGTCAAAAAATGTCAATTGACTATAAGGATATTGTTCAGATTAATTTCACATTGCATCAAATGTGTAAGAATGATACGATTGCTGAGGCGTGGTATCTTTATCTGTCTTATGGTCATTATGCAGGAGGCATAAGCAGTATTGATTTCCGAGAGGTAGGTAAGCATATATTTCATGCATTGCGATTTTGTTGCGAATTGGCAAATAATATGATTGAAACTAGTTTAAGTGATTTCGAGTTTAATCAATATATTAGTCCAGTAGTTACATCCTCAGATTTATTTAAATCACAAATTGAAACATCTGGTAAACAATTTAAATCAACGACCACGTATAATTTTCTTGTGTTATTGAGTCTTATACGAATAACAAATACGGCTAACGGCTTATACTCTGTAACAACCCAGAACTATCAGATTTATCTTTCATCTGATGGGAAAACATATCTTTCTCGTCCATCTCGATTCGGAGACTGTGAGTGTAATAGATCCTCAGTATGTTTTTCTCCGTCGACAATTTACACTTATCCTCAAATGAAACCAATATTTTCCGTGCCTGGTGTTTATCACGGATGTTATATAGTTGATGCACTTTTTCGATCTACCCTCGAATGTTTTTATGATAAAGAATGTGTTGATAAAGTTCAATCTTATGTTGAATCATCAGTTTCATTTCGTCCACGAGTATTAGATGCATCATTAAAAAGTCGATTTTTAATTAATTCAACAATGGGAGAAATTATTCAAGAATCAATGATTGAAGAGTGGAATTGGACACCTAGATATGAAAATTATTATAATGAATGTCAACCAATTGAATGCACATATAGTTATGAAACAAAAATTGGTGTTGTTTATATCGTAACAGCAACAATTGGTTTAATCGGTGGTTTATTTACTGCTTTGAAAATTGCTGTACCCAATTTGGTCAAATTCATCGATTATTTGATTAGACGATGTGCAATACGAAAAATGAATCCGCAAA